TAATAATAATAATAATAATAATAATAATAATAATAATAATAATAGAGTGACTGGAAATGTAGAGGAGAAAACACCGACACCGCATTCTCCACGTGGTATTCTCCAGTCACGTGAACCCAATCGATCTGCAGAGAAAAAAGAGTTAAAACTTCAAACGAGTCCACCGTCTGTACATATTGAAAAGGCAACGAATGCGGTTGACTATCACTGGAGTCCAATGCATGGCACCACGAGTTTATCCGCCATACGACCCTCTATAGATAATACTAATAATAATAATAACAATTATTATTATAATAATAGTTATAGTGATAGTGGTGGTGGTACATGTCAGTATACTTCTCCTAGCGCTATTGCGGAACGTATTATTTACACTTTACTGCAACAACATGAGGAACAAATGGCGGAATTATCATTATTATCATCATCTGAAGCCACAGCAACACCAACAGCAGAAGGAATGGTAAATATACAGAATAAATTACTAAAGAAGCAAAAGAATTTAGAAAAAGAAGGAGGAGGTCCTATTATGGGTGGAAAGAGTAGTAGTAGTAATAATAATAATAATCATCATCATGGTGTTTCTACTTTACAGCAGCAACATCATCATCATCCCATACTACGGATAACACCACAAGAAATTCAACTTGTGCGTGATATTATTCGTACAAAAGATCGTGAAATACTTCAATTACGAACTTCATTAGCTCTTAGTTATCGTTATGCTGCTTATGCTATTCAAGGACATCGTTTACCAGGCACATCTAGTCTTTCCAGTTCATCCCCTTCCTTTATGGAATCACGTTATTTGGATGCCTTGGCGAGTTCCATTCATGGATCTACAAAAGATTCCTTAATGTTATTAGTAAATAGAGTCCCACCGCATGTACATGGTCTTCCAGATATCCCGTTTCCACTTGGACTTCCATGTACGGTTAGTCGTGTTTGTGGAGTATTATCGATGATGAATGTGGAAGATATGCTGCAGAAGAAAACCCCAACGTATGCATTTTCACGATCATGGCGTTCTTACTTTGTTGCCGCGGATGATCGTGGATTATCTATTTACCGCAATGAAGAAGATTATGAACAGCATGCCTTTCAAAGAGCATTATTGGTAGTTCCATTTAGGGATATGGTTTATTTTGTGCCATCTTTCCGGGCTTTACCAATGCATGAGAAGGAACTCTTTGATGCTGCAGAGTTAAAAGATCCTAATTTCTCACAAACGCGAGAGATGAGTGGTACTGGCAATAATAATAATAATAATAATAATGATTATTATAATAATAGCACCAGTAGTAATTTTTTTCGTTCTTTCATCAGCAAACATCGACGACAGAAAAAGAAGAAGAATTCAGATAATAAAACAGATGGGGGTGATAATAGTGAAGATTATAATAGCGATACTACTACAGGTTCAAGAGATAATAATAATAATAATACGAATAGTAGTAGTAGTAAACAGCGATTTGGTCGAAAACATCTTGATCAATATGAAAAATTAATGGCTAGTATTGCCATTGAACATGCAGGAGATACAAACTATGCCTATTTTGGTTTCATTGCCCGACAGCCGAGTACACATGTAGGGAGTAAAGTAGTAAATCCACCCATTATATTTCGTACACGGAGTGTACAGGAGCATACAGAGTGGGTTCACTACTTTGCCCAATGCTTTAACCGGAGATTATATCGTGAAATGTTTCCCATGGTCCTTGCTGGATCGTATGCAGGAACTGATATGAAGGAAACACAAACAGATATGGAAATAGAAACTACAATGGATACAGTAAAAGGAAAAAATGATGATGATCATCATAATAATGATGATAATAAAGAAAAAGAAGAACAACAACAACAAGAAATAATGAATACTAAAGTCATTACAGTTTCTACCATAGATGCGGAAACCCAAACATCTCCGATATCTGATATGGATGAGGCCACAAACACTGAAGAAAAAGAAAAAGAAAAATTAAAAGAAGAAGGGAATGAAAAGGGAATTTCACTATTCACTGAATCCACTCCTCCTCCGCCTCCTCCAAGCGGCTCACCTCCAAAGTGGAGTGTAGTGAACCATCCAGAGATGCATGCAGTCATCGATAGAATAGATGCGGCTTCTCAGACAAATGAAAATGGTAGTTTAGATACTTCTCTAATTACAAAAGAGAATACAAAGGAGAGAGAAGAAGAAGAAGAAGTATTACCATGGAATGAGTTGATCACCGAAATGCGTGGATTATTAGCCTTTAAAAATGAGGAACTCACTGAATTACAAAAGGATTATGATAAACTCCATCAACACGTCCAACAGCTACAACAGGAATTACGTCAAATCACAATTCACCGGGATGAACTGATTGAACGCGTAAAAGAAAATCAGAATAAGTGGGAAGTAGAAGAGGAACAAATGCGGAAAATGGAAAAAAGTCTTCAAGATGCCACAGAGGCGGCTCATCAGGCGGAAACGGCTATGCAGGAGGCTTCTATTCGTGAAGAAACACAACTAACGTTTACCAAATCTCTACAGGAAGAAATTGCACAACTACGACAAAGTCAAGATTTACTTACTGCAGAGTTGTTAGCGGTGAAGAATGGATATAGTGCGGGATTGCGATCACTGGCAAAGAAGGCACTTGGGGATATTGATCAATTACATGATGTTTACACCGCAGAAGAGTATCTTCGTGCCTTACGTGGGGAATCCTATAGTAATAATGATAATAATAATAATAATAATATTAATTGTAGTATTAGTTCTGCGAGTGGATCAGAAGAGTTTAGAAGTCCACAAAAAGAAGAAGAAGATGAAGATTACATGAGTAATGATGATAAACTATTCACTGGAAAACGATCGCAGCCTCATATGCAACTCCCACTCTCACCACCGCCTTTAACCTCTATACGTCAAACATCCATTTCACCTCAGCGAAGAATAAACTATCAGAGAAAAGATGGCTTTGTAAAGAAAACATCTAATCCAATGATATCAAATGAATTGAATGCTGTTGGTATTGCCATGTTATTAATTTCCTTTACACCGCAGCATATGGCCATTGATGGTTGTTTTACTGTTGATGAAACTCAAGCCCGTTTACTCCGCAGCGGCCCATCATCTACACAACGTGGTAGAGAATGGTTGATGCTCCATCACGACACCGGTGCTGTTCTCGCCATCACAACGGAACTGCAGATGGGAGAACACACCATCAATGCACATCCAAAGAATATTAATAATACTACTACTACTACTACTACTCATAAGACTAAGGATATGGATAGTAGGATGACAACAAGTAAAGTATATGGAGGGGAAACAAGACGAGATACACGTACGAGGGCGGCACGATTAACGGCTCCTATGAATACACCACCACGAAAGGCGTTGGTAAGGCGCAATTCGCGAAGTACATCACCGGCTGTACATTTCAGTAGTTCCCGTCAGTTGCAAGATCAATTATCAACAGCAACAGCAACAGCAGCAGTATCATTAATGGGGAAAGGAAAAGGAAGAGGAAGAGGAGGTGCTGTTATGCATTATTGAGGATGAAATAAAGAAAGAAAGAAGAAAAAAATGGCTGGAGAGAAACATATGTATGTTTACATTAGATGATGATGATGATGATGATGATAAGATGGGGAACGTATATATATATATATATATATATGGTATGAGTGGAATAATTCTCTAACGAGAGAGAGAGAGAGAGTACTTGCTTATGTGAATCATATTTTTTTTTTTTTTTTTGAATGTTTGTTTTTCTTTTATTTTGCGTTAGATAGAAAAAGATTAGAGAAAGAGAAAGAGGTGCAGACAGCCACTAGAGAATGGATGAGCACTCTTGTATAACGTTTTTCATTTTCACCTTGTATTTACCCATATATATATACATAAATCTTAATTGTCATTATTATTGTTATTTATTTGTTATGGCTGTTATCATTCATCTATCTATGTATCTATCTATATCTATATTTTTTTTCTTTTTGTGTGGATTCTCTGTAGATGTTAGACTAAATACATCATACAAAAAAAAAAGGTGGGGAAGAAAAATAACTCTTGGTATACCAATAGTAACCCTTCCATATATATATATATATTATTCACTTATATGACCATGCAGAGCCGCTCCAAAGTGGAGGAAATTCTCATTCACCCTTCTGTTACTTTAACGGTTATTGAAAGGGGCGAAAATGGTAAATTATCATCAGGAAAGAATGCGATCTCCTCACTTGGACGTGTACACGCTACAGCAGCACATCCCTACACATTACGATTGCGTAATGGAAATTCTTCTACAGCTATTGTCTATCGCGTAACCACTAGAAATGCTCATTGGTGGTGGGCTCAAGGAACTCATGGAATTTTATATCCTCCAAAGGAAGAAGAAGTAGAAGAAGAGTATGATTATGATAATAATATTAGTATGAGTAATAGTAATAATATTGGTAATAAGAAGGTGATGCATAGTTCAGAAAGTGGAAATAAGTCCATTGGATACATTTCAATGCGAGTTAAAGAGCCAGAGTGGATAGATCGTCTACATAAAGAGTGGAGTAAATTATCTCAGTCCACATTGTCAACAGAAGTTATGAACTCTGAAGAGGAAAGTCAAATGCAAAGAGAACCAGAAGAGACAACAGATAAAATAACCACAATAACATCATCATCATTATCATCACCTCCTCTTCCATCTTCATATATTAGTGGAAAAACAACTACCGCGGTGGATTTTATTCGCATAATGTTTGCGGAACTTCCAGCCACTCATCCCCTCTTGCTTAACCCACAAATAATGGTAAATGATATTACTAAATCTAATTTTTTGACTTGGTGGGATAAAGTAATGACGGCTGCTGATGCTATTGCTACTGGTACTGCTAGTGCTTCTTCTAATGGTGGTGGTAGTAGGAGAGAAAAACGGCAAAATAAGAAAAGGACACAACAAGTAGTATATACAGGAGTAACGGTATTTACACTTCCTGTGAAGGTGGCGTTCTTGTCAGAGCAAAGTTTTTGGACAGCGCTCTCTGTAGATGCAAAGCGATCTTCATCTGATGTAAGTAATAAGAAAGTCGTATTATCGTCTCAAAAAAGTCTCTCATTTCATGATGATGATGATAATAATAATAATAATAGGCAAAAGAAACAAAAAAAAGTTTTGATCGATGATGGGATAAATGACGATGATGATAATGTACATGATTTAAAAGTGGGATTTTGTACAGTATCACTGGCTATAGTGGCCATTATCTGCAGTTTTCTAGCCGGTGTGGGGATGGTGTAATCGTGCTAACCATTGCTTATATATATATATATATATATATATATATATTAGACCTGTGTGTACGTTTATCTCACTCTGTTTGTGTGTATTTCTCTTTCTTTCTTTGTTTGTTTCTCCTTTCCTATCATTATGATTATTTTCTTTTTTTTTTCTTTCTTCGTTTCTCCGTATAGCACTAGTACGGTGCTGGGAGCATTTTAGTAGTAGTAGCTCACAGCACTTTTTTTTTTTTTTTACTTCTCTATTTAAATCCATTCTTGTAGACTTTCCTTCCATCAACACACCAAAGTCTATTGATCAAGTTCCTTTCCTTTTGTTTTATTTTATTTTATTTTAATTTAATCCTCCTTCTGTATTATCATCATTGTATACACACCTATAATACGTGTCTTTTCCCACACGTTCCACGCATACAAAAAGAGATCCCGTACTTATATATAAGTATACATATATAAATAATATTTATATTTATATATACGTATGCCTCTTTTGCGAGCGTGGGAGGCGTTTCAGCCTGATGGACGACTGGAGGTTTCGCTCTGCAATACATCCGGTCCAGATGCGGATGCCTCTTCTGTTATTTATTCCCTTCGTTCCTCACATCCATCGTACTTTGCAGTGATAGGCGCGGAACTCCCTGATGGGGTACTACTACCGGGTGAACGCCGCACTATTTTGTTAGAATTACGCCCAGAGAGTTTAAAATGGTGGGGTAGTAGTGCAAACAGCAGTAGTAGTAATTGGAAACAACAGACAATGAATAGCACAGGGACAGCATTGGCGGAGATATCTCTCTGGGGACTTCCCAGTATGCACAGTCAAACAAGTCCAACCAACAGTGCCCCTATATCCGTGAGGGAATTTCAATGGTCGCAGTTATCACAGCCTTATGCCTCATCACCCATTCAACATCAATTGCAGTCTTTTGGAAGGGTGAATAGTAGTAATAATGATAATAATACCTCACCTGCTGCTGCTGTTACTACGACTACTACTACTACTACTGCTGTTACTACTGCCCAAAATAGTTGTAGTAATAGAGAAGAAAAAAGTAGTGTGATGCTGTTAGCAGATTCTGATGTATACAAACCAAGACGTGTGGAAAATACTAAAACGTTTAAGGAGTTAGGACCACCTATGGATCGTCAGCGGGAAGTAGAAAGAGCACAAGGTCTTAATGAAAGTGTACATGGAGAACATAATACAAGTGATAGTATAAAATGTATTACACCATTAAATCGCAGTCCACAACTTACATCGGAATCATCTTTTACGGAAAATACAATTGTGGAGGGTATTACACACACTGTTGATACTCCTCGAGATAATAGTATTCCTAGTACTACCAAAAGTGGAAGGCTTCCTTCAAGAGGACGTTATAATAATGGAGAAAACACGGATAGTGATATGGATCAAGTGAAAGATAGCATCGATAGTAATAAAAATAATGTTTATGAATACGTAGATACTCCAATATCTATACAAGAGAGTAATAAAGTCCTGTCAACATGGAGAACAAGTGATCCATTGTCTGAAGCAGTACATCAAAATGATAAATCTATATCTGATACGGAATCTGCTGTACATTCAACAACTCCTGTAAAAGACTTAAAAAGTCCATCTAGGTCTGGCAGCCCTAAAGGTGATCCATACTTTTTTATATACTATGAACGTCTTGGTGATGAAAGTGGTTGTTTAAATGCAGCTAATAAATGGTTAAAGACTGAACGGGTGAAATATCTTTCCTGGCAAGAAAAATTACGTCAAAACATGCAGCAACAAGGTGTTGATGAATATAATTGTATACCACCTGCACTTGGTGAACCTGTACGATGGCTTAGTAATGTGAAGGGTATTAATGCACGATCTGGATCACTTTATCATGGCCGTAAACCATACAGTCGCAGTTCTGCTAAAATGTTTAAATCCTCTCGTAAAGGTGGAGGTTGTGTTTTACTTCCTTCTCGTTTTAGTCGTTCTGCGGCTTTTGCAGCTCTTGCGACGGCGGCAACTTCTACTACTTCTGCTATTCCAAATGTACCGCAGGATAATGGAGTGGAGATGTTGAGTAGTGGATCTGAAAAGACCTCTCAAGAAGAGGATGGTCGTGCTGGTCGTGCTGGACAGGGATTGGCATTATTTGATTTATCTGAAACTATTCATAAACAGAACGGCAAGAATTATAATAATGGACGTACGAGTATTGGTGGTTACACTGCTGATACAAGACGACCTGGGGACGTTGGCGATGTTTTCTCTCCAAATAATAATAATAATCATTCCAGTGATCAACTGTCTACCTCACAGTTTTCGAATGAAAACTCCTTATTGACATCTTCTCGGAATGAACAGGCCTTGGAGGTATCTCGGAAGTTACTGACGGGATCGGAACTCACCGCGCAATCACTTCCACAGTTTTCTCCAGCTACAGTTCCCACAACATTTCATCATCGTACAGAGACGGAGGGAACTGTGCAAATGTTAGATCAAACCGTCCGTGGAGAGAGTAGTACGGATTGTGTAAACATATCTCAATCTCATCTTCAGTCTCATTCTTTCTCTACAAATCACTCTCAGTCTCAGTCTCAATCGGAGTCTCAGAAGGGAGGAGAAGTGTCAAGCAAGAAATCGAATGCTTTAGGCAGTACAACAACGTCCTCAACGATGCAAGAAGTCCGCAAAAGTAATTTCTTAGAAGGACTTATGGGTAGTTTCTTAGGATTCCCGCAGGATAATAACAATAATATTAATATAACACCAAGAGAAATAGATGCAATGTTGCCAAAGAGACGTCCATCTACATCTGTGGATAAGGGACTTGGTAATTCACAGGCGAGAAAAAGTTCTGTTCCAGTGTTGTCAAGACGAGTCTCATCTCAGATGAATAGGAGAAGTGCACGAATGTATGATTTACGCATTGCTAAATTAGCTGGAGCTATTCGATCCTTTCTCTGTAGATCTGCCCCATTACTTCAGACAGCCATAGATGGAGCTGTAACGACCTTTTCAAGTAGTGCACAACTTATTGGGGGATTACTAGAAGACTCTGCAGATATTCTTGTGGTTGTGGGTATCCCTATACTTCTACTCTTATCACTATCTCTTCTCTGGATGGTGTTTGGTGGTATGGGTGATGATGATTATATTACCGTCAGCGCGATGGGTCCTTTTGTATAATGAAATTATTAGGGGAAAGGAAAGGAAAGGAAAGATGGAAATGGAAGGATTGATAGAAAAAGAAATGGAAAGGAAAGGAAATTGATGTTTTGAAGATAGGAGAGGGAGGGAGGGAGAGAGAGAAAAAAATGAAATTTGGGAAACAAACAAGTAAAAGTAATAATATATATATAAAAAAAAAAAAAGAAGAAAAATAAAATAAAAAAAGAGAGAAGGATTAAATTATTGACGACTCTGACGGAATCGTTCTTATTTGCCTTGGTGTGTTTTAACCCATGTTCTGCTTGACGATCATCACTTTTTTTTTTTTT